CCTTTGTGCAATTCATTTGGTACAGCATTCTCCCAATAATTCTAGGGATTCCTTTGTAGTTCATTGAAAGATGCAGCCTGGAGGGATGGGTAGTGGGGAGAAATATAATACTGGTGTTGGTGTAGGAAGATAAACTCTAAGGTCCCAATAGTTATCTTTTTTTGTAGAGTTGATTAAGTAAAGAATTGTACAAGTAAAGTAACACTTGGACATGGCATAAAGAAAGGTGAACTCCCCCCCACCCCCCTCCCCATGCACAATAACATTGGAGGTCTCAGAATTTACTTAGGTCAGAATGAGAGTCTCTTAAATTTAGATGCCAAAAGAGATTTGTGGGAAGGCTTGGTTGAGATTCCACATATTTGGCTATATTTCTAAGGGGAAAACCCACCAGTTTCTAGAAGGGCTTCGTGGTGTAGTGGCTAGGCAGTTAGTGTTGAAAGCAGGAAGAACTGTGTTCAAGTCCTGCCCTTGACACAAACTGGCTGTGTGTCCCGGACAGCTCTCTAAGAGAGGTTCAGACCTGATTTGGTGGAAGGAGTTTCAACTCCAGTCAAGTCAACAAGCTTTTATTTAAGTTCCTGCCATATGCCAGCACTGTACTAAGAGCTGGAGATAGAAAGGTAAAGACAGTTCCTTGCCCTCAAGGATCTCAGAGTCTAATAGTGGAGACGATATACAAGCAACTGAACAAACATAAACATGAATGAAAGACAATCAACCGAGGGAAGGCGCTAGGTGGGATTTTAGCAGGGAGTTCCTGGAAGCCAGGAGGTGGAAAAGAGGAGGCAGAGCCTTCCAGGCATAGGGAGGCAGCCAGGGAAGATGTCTGGAGTTGGGAATAGTAGTATCTTGTTCAAAGACCCTCAAGGAGGCTAGTGTCACTAGATAGGTGGGGGAGGGGAGACAGGGTATGAAGGACTTTGAATGTCAGAGGATTTTATATTTGATCTTTATATTGGATATGATGATAGTGAGCCCCTGGAATTTAGGGGGACACAGTCAGACCTGTAATCTACAGATTGGGCCTTTTCCTCTCTCTTTAATTTCTTTGGCAGTAGAGGCCCAGTCATGGTGTAGTGGGGTCAAAGGAGATATGTGTTTTAGGAACTTTTTGAATATAGTTCCCAGTTGCTTTCCAGAATGACTAGATCAATTCCCAACTGTCACCAACTGTGTTCTAGTATAAATGTTTTCCTAAAGTCCCTTCAACATTTCTCATTTTCCTCTTTTGTCATCTTGACCAGTCTGGGTCAAGGGAGGTGGAAAGTCAAAGCTGTCTTAATTTGCATTTTCCTAATTATTTGTGATTTAGAGCATTTTCTTTTACATGATATGGTTGTTGATAGCTTGGGCGTCTTCCTTTGAAAACTGCCTGTTTGTATCCTTTGACCATTATCTCTTGGGGAATGGCTCTTGGTTTTATCAATTTGAATCAATTCTTTATGTGTCTTGGATATGAGATCTTTATCAGAGAAATTTGTTGCAAAGATTTTTCCTAGTTACCTGTTTCCCTCTTAATTTTTACTGCAGCAGACTTTTCAATGGAAAACCTTTTTAATATAATCACAGTTTTCTCTTGTGTGATCCTCTGTCACTGGCCTTTGGTATGCAACAGTCAGCTGGGGTGCGGGGAATCATTTTTAAAAATTTGAAGTGCCATTTGATGTGTAAAGATTTGAAAGATAACATTGTAGCAAATAGAAATAACTAGAGCACATTCTTACAAAAAACTTGCATAGTAGCAATTTATGGCAGATTAATATCAAATGATTTTTGTGTGCACTTGAAACACTGTCTCAATGAAGCTGTGAACACAAAGACCAAACATCCCAGGCAGGGGAGGGAGGCAGTGTAAGGACAGGTGGGCACCCGGCAACCCTCTCTGTCTTCCTGATCCTTTGTCTTTCTGTCATTCATAATCTGTAACCTGGGTGTCTGTTGAACAAATTACAGGATTTTTTTTTCTTTTAAAAAATTTCCTGAAGGAAAGGAGGGATGGGTGATAGAGTCACTGTTCTTAGAACTTGGCTTCATTTCTGTCTTGTTCAGTTCATCCAATATTAAGTGCCTATGAGTATGAAGGATATACAGAGGCAAGAATGAAATAGTGCCTGCTCTCAAGGAGCCATTGTGATTGTTGGTCAGTCGTGTCTGACTCTCTGTGACCCCATTTGGGGCTTTTTTGGCCAAGTGATTTAACATTTCTTTCTCCAGCTCATTTTACAGATGAGGAAACTGAGGCAAACAGGGTTAAGTGACTTGCCTAGGGTCACATAATCAGTAGGTGTCTGAGGCCAGATTTGAACTCAGGTCTTCCTGACTCCAGGTCATGCGCTCTAACCACTGCACCACCTAGCTGTCCCCTCAAGGAGCTTACATTCTACCAATGGAATACAAGTTGTGTACAAGTCAGTATGGTAGAAGAAAAGAAGGAAGGGGCAAAGCTTTGGCACCTGAGGAAGTGGCCCAGGAAAGGCTTCGTGAGGACATTGACCATGGAGCAAAGGAAGACAAGTTTCCTCTGAGGCAGAAATAAGGAAAAGAATATATTCCAGGCATGGAGAATGGCTTGTGAAAGCTCAGAGGTGGAGTTATGAAGCAGTCCATTTTGAGCAGAAATTTGAGTCTGTAAAGGGGAATAGTGAAATAGGTCAGAAATGAGGTGTGAGTGCCAAGCAAAGTCTGGCCTAGTTGGTCTATAATAGACAGGGGGTGCCACCAGGGCCAGACCTGTGCCCTGGGAAGATTACTTTGGCAGGTGGGCAGGTGGATCAGAGAAGGGAGATTCTGGAGTCAGGGAAACCAATTACAGTATTCTAGGGGAGAGAGGGAGGGTATGGAAATACAATAGCCATGTGAGTAGAAAGAAGGGGATGGGTGGGAGAGGTTAATGGAGGGAGAATCAGCAGACTTGGCAGTTGATTGAATATTGGGGGCAGTGAGGGAGAAAGAAAACTCGGGATATGAACAGTGACTAGGAGGATCAGACCTTTTTAGAAATACAATTTTACAATTTTAGACATTTTAAATTTTAAATTTGAGATATCTGTGGAATATCCAGGTGCAGATGTGAGTAAACAGTCAAGAACATGGGTCTTGACTTCAGGAAGAATTAAGGCTAGATATATAGATTTGATAGTTACCTTCAAAGAAATGAGAATATTAGACCCATGAGACGTGGTGAGATCATCAAGAGAGAAGGGCAGAGGCACCAGGACAGTGTCTTGGTGGGGAAGAGAGTGTGTGGGAATCCAAGTTTAATGATGACTCAGCATAGGGGACTGAGGTATTAAAAACCAGGTAAGAAGAGAATCCAGAGAGAGTAGTATCTGACACGGAAGCTCATTTTAGTGGGGTTGTGGGATCAGAGGCCAGGCTGTGAAGCTTCAGAAGCGAGTAGGTGGTGAGGCAGGGAACGTAGATGTTTTTAGAAGTTGACAATGAAAGAAGGGAGCTCTAGGATGACAGCCTGATGGCATAACAGAGGCCAGTGAGGGTTTTTTTAAAGGATGGGTTAGACTAGAAAATGTTTGTAGGTGGCAGGGAAAGAACCAGGAGATAGGAAGAGAGAAGACTGGGTGGGTGGAAATGATCACCAGAGTTCCTTCCTGGAGGAGATGGGAGCCTAGGGTTGAAAGTACTGGTCAAAGGGTTGACCTTGGCAGCAAGGACCACCTCTTCTTAGAGAAAAGAGTGAAGGCCAGGGTGGTGATGAGGGAGAGGAGGAGTTCGGAAATAGGAGACAGAGGAGGGGAGCTTCCAGCAGATGGCTTAGCTCTTCCCAGGAAAGTGAGAGTCCAGGACATCTGCTGATAGAGCGGGGTGGAGGAGACTGGAGGGGAGAGAGGTCAGGTGCAGCTCCAAAGTTTTGCCATCTGCTGTGGAATGGGTATAAGGTCCCTGTGTGGGCCACTGCAGGATGTTCCTGGAAAGTCATAGGAAGGGACTGGACGTGTTCTGGTCTAGAGGGATCAGATGATCTTTTATCGTCCTTTCTAGTTCTGTTAGTCTTTGATTTTATTAAGATGAAGAAACTCCATTTGTGTTAAGTACACTGCATTGTGATTCTTTTCACTTTAGTTATAGATTGTTATGAAGATTAGATGGCAGATATCATAATCTCTCCTGTTAGTAGAAGTAACTGGGATCGTACAAGGCAAAAGCTCTATGTCTAGTCTCTTGTAATTCAGTACGTCTTCCCCAGGCATGGCCAGAGATTTGGCTAGGATGTCTAGTCTCCTTGGTGCGATATGGTTGGCAAATGGGATGTACTCTCATATTTTCCCTCTCTCTTCTCTTGTCCTCCCTTATACTAATTCTCTCCATTGCCCTCATCCCATCTGATTTGCCCTTTCTTTCCTATCCATTCCCATCTTCTTGCTATTTTTCTCTCCTGCCATCATCTGTGCCTGTTTTTTCCCTTAAGAATATGATAATTACTGTAATACAGAAATATGTTTGTGAAGGGAACTTGCCCCCCCCCCCACATTAAAAAAGCAGTGAGAGCTCTTTTTCCTTTGCTTCTTTTCCCCTTCCTAGCACCTTTGGGTGCTGCTTCTGGATAAAAGCTTGCTGACTTGTCTGTCCTAGCTGTTGAAGGAGGAATTACTCTGCTGATGGATGGCCCCTTTTGGTGGGTGCTGTTACATCAGAAGGGCAAAACGGTCTTGATTTCAGCCTCTGTCAAAATAGTATGGAACATTGTTTAGTTTATTAGAATTGAGCACTTGCAGTGTGGTAGGGGAGCATTCTGGCTGCTGGCAATTGCAGGGACAAAGTAGAATGGGAATTTTGTAAGTTTAGGGGGGTTATGTACTTGCAAATGCACTTTGGATAATTCATGAATTCTATACGTTGAAAAAATTCTGTTAACTTATGAACAGTTATATTTGTATGCTTGGTGAAACTACATTATTGCATATTTTTTCATTTAAGAAGAACTGATATATTAGAAGATGAATATTGAATAATACTGTGTGTCCTTCCCTCTTTTGCAGGCAGACACACCCCCAGGGCTGGAATTGCCGTCATGGTATCCAGTTATAAAGCAGGAAGGTGACTCCGTTTCTCAGCCTCCTCCATTCATCCATCCCAGGTAAGCAGTCATCTTTTTTAACTTCTTCTTTCTTCAGTTATTCAAAAGTTGACTTTAAAAACACAAAATTGACATTTTTGAAAAAGGGCATTTTGGGTAGACATATATTTTAGTTTATATTTGTTAGCATAGCAAAATTAATACAATGCAGTTTGGTGGTAAATTTGCCTAAAGGTACAGGAAAGCTTGAGAATGGAGATGGGTGTTTTAGTTTTCCAGTCCGTTGAGTCCTGTTGAGTGTTCCAGGTCCTAGAGGAAGAGTCCATTGGTGTGGGCTTTCTTCTAACTGCATCATCTTTAGAAGTATGTGAATTGCCTTTCCTCTAAGATTACCTTTTAAATGTTTACTCTCATACATAGAAGCTTTCTTAGTAGCTTCAGATCCACATAAGAATTTTTCATCTTTTCACTGAGAACATCCACGATTTGTAACTTCATTTTCTCTTGTTACTCAGTTTTTCTCTTGGATAATATGCATTCACCAAGTCTGGAAATGGAGAGACCCTTGCCTTGCTCTGGATGCCCCGAACTTAAATTCATTAGACATTTTTTAAGTGCCTGCTGTGTATAAAACCCCATGCTACCCTCTGGAGGGGAGTGGGGGGAGTATAAAGTTTAAATATGACATTCTCTTCTAATGAAGCTTAGCCATCAATGAGGAGATATGAAATACACAAATAACTAATGAACAATAGTACACAAATGTGTCAGGCAGGGGCCAGCAATGTACATGTGAGGATGGAGGAAGGAAAGGTCATTGGTGGTGGTGAGGGTCATGGAGTATTATCTACCTAGAGGAGATAGCATCTGAGTTTGGCCTCACGTGGTAAATTGGATGATGGGTACAGATGGAGCAGGTCAGGGGAATGACGTTTAGAAAGCGATGGAGGTAGGCATGCACAATGTATGACTCGTCCAGCTCAGCTAAAGCAGAGACTATCGAAAGCAAGTAGCACGAGAGATGACTTTCAGGAGAAGGTGGCACCAGATCATGGCAGGCAGGCCATCAGTGCTGTGGTCAGCAGACAAGAGGGAGCCATTGAAGGTTGTGAGCAAGGCCTGAAATGTCTGGCCCTCGGCAGATGATGAGTCTAGCATCAGTCTAAAGCATGGTCCGGAAGAACAGGAGAGTGGAGGAAAGAAAGACATCTTTGAACCTAGGAAGCTGGCTGAGTGGGGAGGCCGGGAATAGAGTGAAGGCAGAAGTACTTGATTTGAGGCCAGTGAGAAAGTGGAGCTGTAAGCAGGCCTTTGGCTGTTGGATTAAGCCTGCTGGTCCTTAGCCATGTTGAGGGAGTACCAGGGACGGTGAATCAGAGAGAGATTAAAAAATCAGAGAGAGATTAAAAAAAAAAGGAAGAGTTAAAGGAAGAAGTCGACTGGAGGACCAGGAATCCAAGGGACGGGGTTAAAGGGAATCGGGGGGTTGCATTTGCCATGTTGTAGGCAGCCTCTTTAATGTCACAGTGACAAAGTTCCTTTGTTCTATAATTTAGCACTGTTAATTGGATAAGTCATTTGTAATTATAATTTGGTATTTTCATGTTCATTAACTTATCCCATAAGCCTGTTAATTAATTAGCCTCCCAAGCAGCATCGGGTCAGTGTTCAGCCTCACTAACTACTGCTGTAACGCAATGGCCCTGTGATCTCATCAGCAGGGGGCCTCCCTCCCTCTGGTGGTGCAGCTCACAATCTTGCTGTGCTTTTTTACCTGGTGTGATACCCAGGTCCTCTGGCTCCTCCACAAGGGTACACCCAGCATTCCGAATGGGTGTGTGTGTGTGTGTGTAGAGTACATCGGCTCTCTGCCAGTTATCCCTAGATTTTGCTAAATGACCAGCCCAATAGTACATGGCCACCACGGGCTTGCCCATTGCCTTTAATTGTGTGTAAGCCTAATGTGTCGTCATGCAAGTGCTCAACTATTTGGGGAAGATCATCTTGTGGGATCAGTTTAAAGGCACCCTTGTACTTTGGGCTTTGCCCCTTCTGTGAGTGTGCATGCTCTTGTGCACTTGCTAGTAGCTGGGCTGAGGTCAGATTCCACTTAGCCTCCTGGTGTTGCCAGAAGCCCCAGGAAGTTAGGACCACGGGGAGGCTTGCAAAGAGATCTGGCTTGTATCCGAGCAGCATGGTGTTGAACCAGACAGCAGCCGCACAGGAGCAGAGCGTGGATTCTCTGTGGCCTTGGAGCAGCTCTGGGGATAAAAATAGGCCTCACAAGCAGCCAGAAGTGACTGCTCTGTCCTGGGACAGCCTCGTCTACCACAGTGGTGCCCAAGTGTGTGTGAACCTTTCTGTGCTCAGCCCCGTTGTTTTAGGGGAGAGCTAAAGGAGTGATTTTCCCACCCTTTTCCATGCAAAAAGGGTGCAGAAGAAGATGTGTTTGGTTCTTTGTGCAGTGACAGGGGCCCCTTGGGTGGATAATTTTATTGCCTTACCTTGATTTAGCACAGGCTCTTGTCGCTTTCTGGACAGTTTGCTTCCTTTCATTCTTTATCTTGCGTCTTTGCAGACATTTTGAATAAAAAAATGGAAAATTGTCAATTTTCATTTTACTTGTAGATTTAAAAATTAAACCTGATTTTTTTCCTCATTGTGTCTCCTCAGCTACTACCTGTACATGTGTGATAAAGTGGTTGCTCCAAATGTGTCGCTTACTTCAGCTGTGTCGCCATGTAAAGAGGTCACGAAAGCAGGGGCCAAAATGGCAGAAGGGAACAGGTCTCTGCCAGGGCAGCCTGAGAAATCTTATGCCAGCTGCAAATCTCGCAAAGTCGCCTCTTACCCAGAACTTTCCCTCGAGGAGCAAGAGAAGATGGATCTCAAATCCAGTCAAGAACTCGGCAGCCGTCTAGGTGAGCACGCTCACAGGATCAGTCGTCCTCAAGGACTTCTCAAGATGACTCAAGTATTTTGTTTTAACCATGTTTTAATTGAAATTTCCAAAATATGTTATTATATCATCTCCCTTCCTGAACATATTCCCCCCCTCTAAAAAAATCAGATTTTTTAAAAAAATCTGATTTTTGTATTCTAAATACTTAAGTAATGGACATGCACTTACGTAGCTCTTACATTTAATTGCCTTTTATTCTGCAGATTACCCATAGTATTTACTCTGCCTTCCATATTTTAAGTAAGATGGTTTTCAATTATTTAATTGCTTAGTTTTTTTTCCCCTTAAAGATCCATCCTTGTCAACCAATTCTACAAATAAAAGGAAATTGGAACCCAAGGCTTGTGGTACAGATGCAGAAACCAGCAAACGGGAAAGGGGCCAAGAGACTCCAACTCTATGGCCATCGATTATCAAGGATATCAGTTGTGAGGACGATAAGGGGAAAATCATGGAGGAAGTGATGAGAACCTATGTCCAAAAACAAGAGAAATTGAATTCTATTTTACAGAAGAAGCAGCAGCTTCAGATGGTAAGACTTGTTCAAGTGATTATCCATTTAGCCAAAAAAACCTTTATTTTTTGTGTTTCATTTGCTTTGTTAGCGTGAAAAGTCAGGTTATTGCTGCCTAGATTGTAAACCATACACAGATAGTCCATGTTTTATCTGAAGCTCTTTTCAGAATCATGAACATTTAGAAATTTGACAATGAAAATGCCAAGTTAGGCAGGAGTTTTGAAAAACCTATATTCTATATCCTTGCCATAGTATCCTTGCTAGTGATAATAGCCTAATGTGTTTCTGTTTTCTGAGTTGAAAATTTTAACTGGAGAGAAGTAAAGTAAAAATTTATCTCTGATTTTTTTTTTTTGTAGGAAGTGGAAATGCTGAGCAGTTCACAAGCTATGAAGGAGCTCACTGAAGAGCAGCAGAATTTACAGAAAGAGCTGGAGTCTCTGCAGACTGAGCACGCTCAGAGGATGGAGGAATTCTACATTGAACAGAGGGACTTGGAGAAGAAACTGGAGCAAGTGATGAAGCAGAAGTGTACCTGTGACTCAACTTCAGAGAAAGACAAGGAGGCTGAGTACGCAGCCCAGGTGAGAACGGAGGGCTGTGACATCAGCTGGGGGGGGAGGAGGAAAGGTTACCGTGTCAGCTGGGGAAGAGGCCTCGTCTTCGGTGGGCCACGGGCATCCAGACACAGCTTCCCAGAAGAGGCAGCCTTTGAGTGGAGCCTTGAAGGTTGTGGGAGGTAACATATCACAGGTGGATATGGGGCGAGGTAGGGAATGGAGTATTTTTTGAGTGGAGGGGAGACCGTGAGCCTAAGGTGTAGAGGAAACGAAACATGGCCTATTTTGGGGGAGGGTCACTGGTTGAGTTGGGCTGGAGTGTAGAATAAACTGGAGGGTGAGAGGAGAGGAGAGAAAACTGGTAGTTTGGGGCTGAAAAATTGAAAAAACATAATTCTGTAGAATCCTGTAATTCTGTGTATGTTTAATGCTGGTTTTTTCTTTATGGTCTCTGCCCTCCTAGAGAAGAATTTTATGTTTAACTTAGTATGGCAGATGTCGTAATAGTACAATATATATAACCAGTATTTCAGTGAGAACATCATTTAGATTTATGAAGCTCATGATTTTTGTTTCCTCTCTTAATCACTTGATTAAAGTGCTGAATATTTGGGTCATAGAACTAAGATTGGTATGTTTAAAATAATCTGTCCCCCTCCCCTTAAATCAGGATATAGGAGTATTATATTAAAGCAACCCAACAGGTCTTTAACATATTTGTATCTAAAATGTAGTTGTCACGGAAATATAAATTATCATGTAATCCAATGGGAAAAGAATGAGAAGTTGGGGAAATTTCACACA